CATAATTGAATAAATTATGTTGTTTAAACGTTTGTTTAACAAACAAGTAAAAGCTTGGAATGGTCTATTCTTTCATTGGGAGGAGGGGGTAGTTTTGGAGAATTCCACTCCTCATCAGTGACCCTGGACACTACCACCAATGAAATATCAAACCAAACCGAGCCTTTATAGTAGTGAGGTATCGAAAATTGAACCGGTGTATTTAAGTGTTTTACACTCACACAAATAGAAACCTATCATTCTATAGGTATTTGAAGAACTTGTAGCATTCCGCCACAATTTAATTCTTCGTATTGTTAGTCGACACCCCAGGATCACTGATGAGGAGAGGAATTCTCTGAAACTAGTCTGGCTCACTAGCCCCCCTCCCACACAATGAAAGAATAAACCATTCCAAGTTTTTACTTGTTGTTAAACGACTCTATTCAAATAAAAATAAATTGTTCCTTTTTTAAACAATTTGTTATATCATGCAGTTTTTCGAAATATAATTTCGATATTTATATATATATATAGTTTGTTTCTGTCATGGTAGTTATTCGCCAATAAAACAAACTCGAAATTGATAAAAGTTATGTTGGTTTGAAATGTGTTGACGTTTTGAAGAACATAAAAAAAAAATACTTTCCTAAAAGACGGGAACAACAGCAAGTAAATAAAATTGTTTTTGACATCTGTTAAATCGCATTCCCCGTTTCCAAAAACAACTGGTAGTAAAAGAATGACGAGAAAATAGTTATATGTAAGATATCAACAACATGGTGCCCATGGCAACACCATGTTATATCTATGTCTATCTATTGGGTTCCGATTTTTTAAATATTAAACCCACACTGCAGATAAAACGGACAAAATCAAAACACTGTAAGGATTGATCATCTGGAAGGCATGGGGGGGGGGGGGGGGAGATAATTCCCTCTCACTATTAGACTAACTGATTTATTAGCAGGAAAACATAACTCAGCCACAGAAACCGTACGGTAACACTGGTTACTGGATATCGTACAATAACACCAAGTACTGTATACCGTACAATAACACTTATTACTGGATACCGTACAATAACACCGATACTGGATACCTTACAATAACACCCAATACTGGATATCGTACAATAACACCAAGTACTGTATACCGTACAATAACACTTATTACTGGATACCGTACAATAACACTTATTACTGGATACCGTACAATAACACTTATTACTGTATACCGTACAATAACACTTATTACTGGATACCGTACAATAACACCGATACTGGATACCTTACAATAACACCCATTACTGGATATCGTACAGTTACACCCATTACTGGATATCGTACAATAACACCCATTACTAGATATTGTATAATAACACCCATTACTAAATATCGTATAATAACACCATTACTAGATATTGTATAATAACACCCATTACTAAATATCGTACAATAACACCCATTACTAGATATTGTATAATAACACCCATTACTAGATATCGTATAATAACACCATTACTAAATATCGTACAATAACACCCATTACTAGATATCGTACAATAACACCCATTACTAGATACCGTACAATAACACCATTACTAGATATTGTATAATAACACCCATTACTAAATATCGTACAATAACACCCATTACTAGATATTGTATAATAACACCCATTACTAGATACGTACAATAACACATTACTAGATATCGTACAATAACACCATTACTAAATATCGTACAATATATCGTACAATAACACCCATTACTAAATATCGTACAATAACACCCATTACTAGATATCGTATAATAACACCGATTAATACATATCGTACAACAACACAGATTACTAGACAAACAAGAGGATTCGATAAATCCTGCAGTATAGTTTAATTTGGAAATAGAATAAGGAAAAATCTCATTTTTTAAAATATTCTGATTAAAAAAAAAAGAGGACAATTGAATTGTTACTTCAGTTTAACGAAAACCGTTTTCCGTTGCCATGCCGCCACATACGAGACCGTGTCAATCTATTCTGAACAATGTCAGCTTTCAATATTTATCTAGACAGAGCTTTAAACATTTTTTTTCGTTTATAAAAGAGTTAGTATTTAATTTATTGAAACACTTTGTTAACAGAGGTTTCGATGGTAACATCACTGATAGAATTTACAATCAGTTTTGCAACAAATTAAAACTTTCACGGTGTACCATACATGCGATACCAGTGTTAATAGAAAAAAAAAACACATTTGTTTGTCATATGCTGAAACGACTTCCCTATAGAGATAATGTTTTTAAAAATATATTAACTTTCATGTGACGTATTCGCTTCGGGTCAAATTTAGTCATTTTACTGCTAGTCTTTAAAGATAAAATCACATTGATAGATAATTGTGGTATTCATAGAATCTCTTTTAACTGTTATCTGGTGTATATTGGTCAAACATGGTGTAGAAATTTAAAATTTAGACTTAATAAAAATAAATTGCTATAAAAAAAAAGGGCAAAAATGAGTGAATCGGAATTAGGCGAATATATGGCAGTGTTAATTGGAACAATGTTATTTTGATTAAATATTCTAATAATAATAATAATATGAACTAAATATAAAGAAATTATTAGAAATTTAAGAATTTGGTTAATTTTAAATAGAGATCCTGGTCCAGGGGGTTGCAGAAACTTATTCCGGGAAATTTATTTTAAGAGAAAAGGATAAACAGGAGGCAGCACCATTCATGTTAAGTGTTAGATCGAAGTTCTGTACGAAGCAAGATAGCAAAAGAAACAAACATGTCTCCTCACTGATGACGGTGGATCTGTGACCCACCAAAACATGTAGAAGCACTTAGGCGCCTTCAGTTGGCTCGTCAAATTTTTATTTGGTGTTTTTACTCAAGCCCGTTTCCAACTTAATTTTAGTATTAATGCTTATAGATATAAACATTGAAGTCGTTAATAAAACGTGAAACAAAGAAGGTTAAAGATTGTGCTAAACAAAGCCTAATTGAAGGGATATAGGATGACCTCTTGTCCTTTATCAACACCTACTGTCTTGTCAATGATGGGTTCGGTGATGCCCTGACAGGGTTCTTCAGCAAGTCGACTTACTTCTCAAACGTTACCCACATATCCTGTTGTATAGAGAAACATCTCCCTGTAAACAAGACTTACGACTTTTATCTTGCT